AGAACCAAGTCCATGGTCCGACTTACTAGACGATTATGAACGAACTTTGGTTCTTACGCCTTGGAAGTCAAATGGTGGCACAGGATTATTTAAGAGTCAATCACTTAAAAATGTGATTACTGAATTCTGTATATAATAATTAAATATTTGGAATATTGCAATTTATTTGGGATAGCTCATAGCGTAAATACAGTATTAAGCTAGAAGTGTTACTTTAAATTTAAATGTCTGTCAAAATATGGAATCGAATAATAAGTATTAAAAAAGATAGTGCATGAAAAGTAATAGCGCTAGTGGAAAACTATAAGTTAAAGTGTGTAACCAATCATAATTAGTTTAGCACAGGGGTCCATATCATAATATTATTATAGCTTACGCGGGGAAATTCCATTCTTGCTGCCCCATCCACCAATAACGTAAATTTTCCAACCAACAATGCAAATTCCAAACAGACATCTGCACATATTAAGCCTTGGTCCAATCGACCAACGGGATGAAGATATCTCGTATATGAATGTGCTGGATGAAACTGTATCATCTTGTCTCCAGCCACCGATGAAATAGATACGTCCATCCTCCGCAACAAGTGCGGATGCTAAAGACAATGCCTCCCCATTTGGAAGCTGGCCCATTTGCCATGGCTGCCATCTGGAGTTAAAATCAAGTGAAACGCAGGTAATATCGGAGAGGCGTTTCTTTGAACTGCAGTCATAACCCCCAAGTACACAAATTACTTCGGGCTGAAAGGATTAAAAATTATTAGATTTAAAAATAAATAAATCATAAATACGTATCGAGGCATATAAAACTGTAAAAACAAAGAAAGACAAATGAAATCAAGGATTTTAGTTCATTTTACTTAAAGAATAAAGGTAGTAAATGGGAATATGGCTATCCTATTCATTGCTTTTGACAAAGTATGGAAAATAGTGAATGGTTTAGACATGAGTAGACACTTTAGACACTTTAGGCTTTCTACAAAATTATTATAGATTAATTGTACTAGTCGGCACATTATAAACTACATATAGGCTAGTATGGTGGTGGTCAGGTTTAATAGCGGGTATTCGACCATCTGATGTATTAACGTTGCTGCTCAGAATATAATTCAGCTCCATGTATCGTATTTAATTGGAGCTTGGTCATAGAAGTAAGAAAATGGCATATTAATTTAAGATATCATAAAATTGCGTTGAGTTGTAAAGTATTTAATAATTTATATAACATTTGTAGTATTTTTAATTGGCTTTAGCGAAAATATGAAGACCAAGATGTTGTGCCTCTGGTATGATCGCAGTCTCTTTTCGATTTATATAAGTAGGTTGACCTCTTTGTCGCAACTTGGTCTTGTTATCAGGGAGACTTAGTAAAACGAACTTAGTCCGAAGTCGTCTGCCATAGTAGTTGTCATGATTCCCAGCATCAGACAGTGGACTTGGTACATT